AAGGAAATGAGAAAGAAAAGGGAAGAGAGAAAAGAAGAGAGGAAATGACAAAGAAAAGGAAGTAGAAAAAAAAAAGTAAGAAAAAGAAGAAGCAGACGAGAGGCAGAAGAGAAAAGAAAGAGAGGAAGAAAGGAAAATAAAGAGAGGAAGAAGAGAAAATGAGGAAAAGGAAGAGAACTGGTGATATATATAAGGCTTATACGGACTGTTTTCGGTCCGTATAATCCTTATTGGCACACCTCACCAAAAAATTTCAATTTTTTCGGGAAAATTTTTGACGCATTAATAATATTCGGACCGAAATCGGTCCGAATATAAATAAATTAGCGCACAATCAGAAAGATTCAAATTTATGGTAAAAATTTGGTGCATAAATTAATTACGAACCGATTTCGATCCATATATGTACTAAGCCTACAAGGGATCACATTAACATATTCGGACCGATTTTGGTCCGAATATGTTGGGAAAAAATCCACAATGCACATTTTTATTCTTTTCATTTAAGGACATCACCATTTTCTCGTGTCCTCAATCCATTCCTGTGAAAACTAATTACATGTCATCGACCCTACAATCCCTTAGAACCACGAAAGCATCGATTGTCTACCTAAAATTATCTTATAATGGTACGGAATAATATCGTTGCAAAACCACGAATGTATAAGTTTCAGGTTATTAGAGATAATATTACGTAATGCTCTTTCGGAGTCACAAGCAAATAAAATTCATTTTTTTTCTTAAGGTTAACCACTTTGGCTTGCAAACATTCGAAATGTTACGGTTTAAAATGATAGTAGAACGACTTAAGCACGAAATAACAAAAAAAAATAAAAAACTATTGTTCAGGGGCATATACGGATTGGTATCGGTCTGAATATAGGCACTCCAAGGGATTTTTAATCCTAAAGTTAAATTAAATTAAGTATGAATATATGTATGGACCGGTTTTGGTCTGAATATATGCCAAGAATCCAGAAGCTTCCATGCTTTTCATTTTTCAGACCGATTTTGGTCCGAATATACTAGAAAAAATCCAGGAACTTCTCCCAGTGCACATTTTTATTCTTTTCATTTAAGGACATTACCATCTTCTCGTGTTCTAAATCCATTCCTGTGAAAACCAATTGCATGTACATCGACCCTACAGTCCCTTGGAACCACAAAACCATCAATTGC